TCGCTCTCTACAGAAGTAAGCTTATCAGCGAAAAATCATAGTAACACTTTTATTACATTTTAATGTAAAAACTCTCTGGCAAAATTATTTAATTATACCAAATAGAACTTTATTCTAAGCAGAAATGGCATTAACTGCTCACTTTCTAAATAATTGTTCTCTTGCAGAACATTATCAAGTATTTTACATAACACAGGCTTATAATATATTTTCACTGGTCTAGAATAGCGAATTCCATTTTTTTCTGAAGTAATTTGGCACCAAACCCAATTATTAATATATAAATGGCGTGATCATAGAAAATATTTCAACGAACTCAAAGAAGCGGAGGAAAACAAAAAAAAAATTCTAAGAACATGTATGCTGGCATATAATGCCTGATTATACCAAGTTAAAACCAATTATCAATTTTATCATTTCGATTCTTTTTTATCATTTGATTTATTATGCAATCATTTTAATGAGCATTGAATTGTTATTATTACTATTATTATTGTTATTATCATTACTATTATTATCATCATTACGGAAAAAAATTGCGATCACACTTTTCAATATTATTCTAATAAATTTTAATTTGCCACAGATTCATATTTCAGGCTTGCAATCCTGAGCAGTAAATGGTAAATGATATCATGTTTGTCCACGATTTCATAAAAAATTGACAATTCGCTTTTTTCAATATATTCAATGTTTTTATTTTTTATTTCTTATTAGAATTAAAATTTTGTATCATTATGATAATTCCAATTCCAATTAATTTAATGGCCAATGGCATCCAATTTTGATGATAATTTTTTGCCTTAGAAAGGCTTAAAATTTATGAAACAGTAAAAATAAATAAAGGTATGGAAGAGGGAAATAGAATTGTTTAATTGATCTACATCGATACCGGAATTCTACTCTCAGAACAAACCTGTCTTCCGGAGTAAAATCGCCATTGCGACTCATCTATATTCCTCTCGCCAAGACTATCTGGCAAAACTCGTTTCTATTAGCTGAGGGAGTGAGCCTAACCAGAAATTGCTAGCATTCTATATATAAAATATTATCAAAAAATCTTTGTTTGTACTTTAATTTAATTTAATTTATTTTGCATTATCACAAAAAATCATACTTTTTACTTGAAAATTAAACAATAATTAAAACAAAATTAAAACAAAAAACAGCAATAAGTAAAAATTTCGTAAATCAACCGAAATATACCGATTCCCGCAAAAAAAATAAAGTAATGCTTGTCATTATTACAATAATGCTAGTAGATCAAAATAAAGAATAATATAAATATTAGTAAAATTCTCAATAACAATAATCCGTGATAATGAATAATGGTAATAATAAATATTTACTACTACAAATACATTAAATGACAAAATATGTAAAGAAAATTTATCGAAATAAACACGCATCGACAAAGAATTATCACAGCAAAAATTAAATATTTATAAAAAAATATTTATAAAACAAAAAAAAACAAAATGAAGACGCTGCACGGCAGCTGAGAACATGGCAGAAAGAAAGCATTTGAAAAAACAATATAAAATAATAGATTAGAACAATGAAGCCAAAATTATTATAGATAAAACAATTGCAATAAAAATAATAAAAATATCAAAAATGAAAAATAATAATAAAATTAAAAAGCGAAAAGCCCTGAATTTCTTTAAAAAATTTAAAAAAGATGGAACTAACTATCGCTAAAGAAAACCAAAATACATTATGCAGAAATAGCGTTTACTTATTTTCCTTTTTTCCTCAAAAAAATGTAATTAAAAAATAAAAAATTTAAAAAATAAACCCGCATAATGCAATAGTGCAATAAAATTTGGATAATGCAAAATATTTATGTCGTTTTTTTAATTTTTTTCGTTGCATTAATTATTAAATAAAATTCAAATTTACAATGGATAAAAGATTTTAAAAAATGAAAATTCAATTTTTTTTTAAAAATTTTGGAATTTAAAATTTAAAAAATTATTAAAAACTACTAAAAAACAAATTTTGACTCATTTTGATTTATTTATTTTGGTTTTTTTAAGGAATTCAGAAAGTAAAAATAAAAATCTCATAATTATCAAAAAAAAGAAAAGACAAGATGAAATATTTATTAATTAACAGAAAAAAACACCTTTAATTAACAGACAACCCCTTTCATAAGTCGCCTTTGGTCCTAACAAATCATTAGTCCTGATAAGTTGAAAATAATTTTGGTATAGTTGAAAAATTAATTATAATTACTTGATAACCTATAAATATTCCTCTTAAATCGTGGTTTTATCAGCAAAATTTATCAACGAAAGTGATAAGTTTGAGAAATGTACATAGTGACACTAGATGGAACACATGGAATATATGGAATTATTGCATAATTTATGCATCAACTGAATATTTCACTGAAAAAAATGACCCAAATTTCATTTCAATACAAGATTTAAAGCAGTAACTAAACTTTCCAACAAAATAATCAGAAAATATACTCGAATTATCCTTTTATTATTTCTTCCTTATCAGTGCTTTATTTTTTCATCTACTTATTGCCTTATTATATTCATTTCATGACAGAAACAAAATGAATTCTCAGAATTATTATTTTTCCAAAAAAATTTTACAAATTATTAATTGTTTACAAATTATTGATGTATAAGATGGCCCAAATAGACATAGAAAAACAATCAACTAAATAATTTTTCATAAAATTGTCAGTGAAAAGAATTTTAAAAAATACTTTAAGAAGAAAACAGAAAAGAATGTTTTTTTCATAGTTTTCAAGTTTTCTATGGAAAAAAATATTTAAACATTTAAGCCTTAGCCTGACATAATAGATCAAAATAAAAACTTTATGGATATGAGATTTACGAAATTTTGTGGAAATTTCTTAAATCTCTACCATATACCAAAATTTATAATCCCAGACTGATATTTATTTAGTATTTAAGAGATTTAGTATTTAATTTAATGAAAAGATTTAATATGTTATATGTTTCAACCAAAATTCATTGCATAAGGAAACGTTTATCAGTTCTGATAACAAATTGTCTACAAATATATTATTGTATTTGATAAGACGAACCACAATATTTGATTAGTGAAATGATCAAAAAAATTACTTTATGAAATTCCCTTTTCCTAGATTAGAAATTCAATTTAGAATTTAAAATAATTTAAGGCAAATGACCAAAAAGGATTTTTAAAAAAATCTGAGAAAACGCTGCATGGCCTAAAAAATTAGGTTAGCCATTTATGAGATCGAAAAATTATTGTCATAACTTTAAAGTATTTTTTAATTCTTAAAAAGCTATGACAATTACCCATAAAAGTTCCACTAAACTCTAAAATTCGAAAAGGGTTTTGTTTAAGATTCTAAGATTTTTAAGTTAAAACCCCACACGTTCTCCCTTTCTCCCCGAATATGAATTTTCATTAGCATTAGAATAAATTCAATTAAGCAGCCATAAAATATTGTAATGGGTCTAAAATTAGCAAAATTCAGTATAAAAAGCGACCCTCTTTTAAATATTGTTTCTTGCCTGAAAAACCTGAAATTCATAAGTGAGGCAGTCCATCAAATAGATGAGAACAAATAAGATGGCATTTTGATTATTATTATTATTGTACATTGAAAATTTATAACTTTAAAAGATAGGCTGAAAATAATTGAGAAAAAAAGAGATAAGAGATAAAAAAATGATAAAATATGATAAGAACACCACAGCTAAAGTGATTATCTCTTGACAAGCAGTCATTTATCATTTCGAAAAAAAATTTTTTATCATGTTGTAACAACAATAATAAAAAAAGGATGACGGACATTCACTAAATGTTCGCGTTTCAAGCAATATATATATACATAGTAAAAAGAGTATTTATAGTAATAGTAAAGAAAGGAATGTATAAAACAAACCCTGCCATTAAATCAGTTAGCAAAAAAAGAAATTCCAAAGAAATAATGAAAATTTTTCAACAAAAATTTGCGCCATTTTACAACTCGAGAAGGAAAAAAATTGACAAATCGAGAAGGAAAAAAATTGCAACCAATTTTTGAGAATTTTTACAAATTTATTCAAATTATTTTTTATTAATTTTATTAATAAAGCAATATTCCTTTCCTAAATTTCTCGTTAATTTTTGAAAATGATTTTCTACCTAAATAATCAAAAATTTCACTTGAAATATGTTTTTTCTTATTTGAAAAAATCGTTCAGTGAAAAGTATTTAATATTCAGTTAATATAGCTAATTTATATATAAATGTGCTAGGAACAACTAAGACTTTGCGTAAACCTCCCAATCCTCAGGCGTTTGGTAGAAGGCCTGAGATTGAGGAAAATCCCCATTGCACTCATAGGGAATTTTTTTATATTTTAAATATAGATACATATAAACAAAACATTGCACTACTTACATAATTATACTAATGAAAATCAATCAAAATACCATAGTTTTAAAAAAATGAAGTAAAAACCTTTTATCCTATCCACTATTACCTTCATATATTTGATAATTTAATTTACGCAATAATTTTTGTTTAGCAGTCAATTTCTTACGTATATGACATAAAGTATAATTCAAAAGTGTCCTGCACATTCACAAAAAAATTAAATGAACAAAAAGCAATGATTTATTAGAACGAATGGAATGATCCTCATGAAAATTTCGTTTATCACATGTGAAAAAATTATTGATGAAAAGGAAGGAAAATTCTAGAAAAATTAGTTAAATTATAGTACTAAAAATTATAGTAAACTTATATTAAAAAATTGATATCAAAACTTATAATGATAATTTGCAAATTTATGTGATAATAATCCATCTGTTTCCGTCGACCACAAAAGTTCTTTGAAAAATTTTTTTAGAAAAAATAAAAAATAAAAATAAAAGATCAACAGATTAAAAATATATTTATATATGTCTATTTTCTATATTAAAAAGCTTAATTTATGTGTATAAATCAAAATTTTATAATATCAGCAATTAATTCCTAAAAGTTAAAAAGATAAGTTTTTATACGGCTGATTTACGTCGTTTGCGAGTCAATCGTTGAGTCAAACTAGACATTGGTAATAGAAGTGAAGCTCTATGCCCTGGAGTAGCAGATGCAGATCGACGACTTCTACCAGCACCACTTTGCCTTATATGTGAATAGGGGTGGTGTTGGCGGTGGCGTTGTAACCGAAAAGAACGCGATGTAGAAGCAAGTTGTAAACTCATAGCAGACGATGATCCTACTTCACTTGAGGCCGCTTCACCTGGACCTTCTTCTATTTTCTCGTCATGGCGAATTATAATACACACATCACCCACCTTGAAAACGACAAAATCCGTGCAAATTATAAGTAGGTTTAAGAATAAACTGCACTTTTACATAGCTATAATTTTATGTTGCCAATATTTTTAAGAAAAAAATAATTATGAACACGGATTAATCACAGGTCATATTTTGAAATTTAATAGATTGCACATCCTATTTTGTCTTTTTAATCTATAGTTCAAATTGGTTCAAACTTACAGTTTGGGCGTAGACTTGAGCTCATTAAATATTAATTTAAGTTTAGGCTCAGATCAAGACATTTTCTCTAAATTTCTAAATGCCCTTATGTCATTTGCTTATAAACCATTAAAGTAAAAATTTGAAAATAACAAATTGTGTTAAATTAATACGACATACCACCAACTGTCTGCATATTAAGCCATATATAGAACGAGTTTTTTCTGGACTGCATGAAGACCAACCTTGTTCAACTACAAAATATGGATATTCCACTGCTGCTTGAACATTTACCTGAAGATATTCAAAAATTATATATATTTAAAAATTCCTGCACTCATATAAGTTTAAGTTTCCCATCAAAAGCGATTAAAATAGCTAAAGGATCACATCAATTCAAAAGTTGCAAGGTTATAAGTACATAGATTTTGTGTACATATGAAAGTTAGAAGGCATAAAGATTGGTTCTGAGACTCAATTGTATTCCAAATTATAACATTTTGAAACCTGAATATTTTGTTCTCCAATGGCAAAAGTTACTAGAACATATTGTTCGCTACCAATTTGTTGAATTCGAATAACCGTACTGTTACAGAGGCTGAGATCTGGTTTCATTGCTGCTGAGAGCACAAAATCCTCTGTGCTCATGTCTTCAACCCGTTTCAGTAGACCTGATTGCAATCGTATCATTGTTCCTTCAAATGAATATGAGGTTTAGTGAATAAGGAGAAAATATTTGAAAATATTTTTGGTTTTACATTTCTTATCGATAATTTTATCATTTTTTGTGGTTATTGCTAAATTCATCAAATATCTCACGGTACTAGCTTTAGATACTTTTTAAAGTGCTGGCTAGAAATTCTTCATAACTAAGATGTATAAAAATTATTCTAATATAGAATTATTCTCAATATATATGGCATTAATAATAACCAAATATTGAAAACTGATACCATGAGATAATTGCCCATAACTTGAAATTTTTAAAGTAACTAAAAATATTATTATATAAACAAGCATATTATTTAAGAAAAAATCAATCTTAATCAGTTATAAAAAAAATCATTAACAGATGATAAAAATACTTAATGCTCATAAAAAATAAATTATAAATAAATTAAATTTTTTCATTCATCAATCCTGAAATTCAAATTCATTCAAATTTTTGGTTGCTTTAGAAAAAAACAATTATCAACAACATCCGAAAAGTTTTCACATGGTTCTATCAATTCAAATTATAATAAACATTACAATTCATGATTGAACTTTAGTATTATCAGTGATAATGGATTGAAGATATCAATTTGTAAAATCAACCTATTTCCAATAAATTCTTCATTATCAAAGCTATCCAGAGATCAATAATTCCTGCAACTGTTTTTATTTGACTTATTTCCACTTTTAAAAGAAAATTCACTCTAAAATTGCCTAAATATACTAGTAGATGTGAAATTAAATATTTAATTTATTTGTTTTTTATATTCGCTACTAATTATATTTTTCTAAAGATGGCATTTATTCTTTATTAAGAAAGCAAAATATTCGCATAATAGTACTAAGCTCTACTAAGGGTTCCTTTACAAATAAAATTATCCACTATAATTTCCATGAGAAGTTTTTATAATTTAAGAAGTAAGACCAACGTAAACATCAGGAATTTAAGATAAAATTCAAGAAGAAACATCAGAAAACATCAGAAAAACTTAGAAAAACTTAATATCTGAGATAATCTAATTTAAGAAAATGAATACAAATTACTACATAATTTTTTATTTTTACCTATCAACTAGGATTAATTTGGTTTAATTCTTTTCCATATTAGTTTATTCGAATCATCTCATATTACTAGGTAACCAAAACAAAATTCATTCGGTTTTTCAATGTTATCATTTTCAATTTATCTTCAATATATGAACATAATGAAAAGGATTGCCCCATATCGCAATGCACAGTCGAAAGCCAATATAATATTGAATCACTAATGATTATCATGATGGAATATATATCAGAAGTTCAGTAAAGAGCGTTTTTGTAAAATTGGCGAAAATAACGAAACTTCTTCTGTTTTCAATTCAGAAATCCAGGTGATGCTGGCAATTCATGAGGAAAAAAATGAAAGAAATATTATATATATGATATATACATATATATGTATATAAATTGAGCGAATAGGCCAAAAGCATTTGTGTCAAACAATGGGGCCCATGAAAATATACCTCTCGAGAAAAGACCTATTTGATAACAATTAGCTTAAGGCCAATGCCGAATTACTTATTTATACGGCTGTTTGTAGTAATACTAAGCATTCTTATCGTTGAAAGCAGTGAAAACCTGCGCATTCCCGAATTCACCAACAAAAAATTTGTTATTTTGTAATAGACTAGACTTCAGTTGATATTGCTCATAATAAGCCAAATGCCAAAAAATAACTGGGAAAGTTTGCATAAAAAAGTTATAAAGGCTGCAGATGCGCTAAAAAAAAACTCAACAAAAGAGTACGAATGAGAATTTCCACAGTCTTGGCTCTTAATAGTGCACCATTCGACTACTACCCGCTGCATATTACTGCATCTACAAACTTCTATCTCACTCGAAAAAGAACGCATAGTATGTCGGTGCTCACTTTCCTGAATTATAGTATTTTTCATTAGCTTTTTCCTTGATTTTTTTAAATTTTTCTGCGAATGAATTTTTCTGGTTACCTAATAAATGAATATAGAAAACTTTATAAATATAAAGAAATATCTAAAATTTTGCAGATTATAGCAACAATTTTGAATAAAAAGAAACACAATTAAATGTAAGCTTTCTGTTTATCCAAAGCATGAAAATATAAAATTATCATGCATATTTGAACTGAGATAGAAAAAAATTGGCTATATCAAAATTGGTTAGAAACTAAACCCTGTTTGAAATGAGATGGATAATATGGCTGAGAATGAAATGTCCCCGTTTGGAAATGAATATCTGTTGGTCCTGCTCGCTGAGGAGAAATCGTTGGCAACCTAAAAAAATTGATGCATAAATATTTTAAAATTTATCGATGTTGATAAAATTCATTAATAATTGCAGCAACAAATGTAGAAGTGGTAATCGCTGAACTTACGATAAATTTGAATTTATAATATGTTAAAGAATCCAGATAAGACATTTGCGCGATTCCTCAAATTTCTAGCAAATTAACATTCTCTGGCTAATAACAAATTGTAAATAGAGCATCCCTATATTAATTAGAATAAATCAAGCATCGCGATCTTCAATTATAATTATGAAGTATTAATAGTGAAAATATTTGGTCAAGGCAATATTATAATATCTCACCGGTTGCAATGGCAATGGTTGCAATGAGTTTCATTTGGAAATGTCGTTGTTGAGGTTTTACTCGATGAATCTGTCTTTTAAAATCCAGATGATGCTGATATCTGTATTTTCAGCCAATTGGCTTCTAGCAAAATTTATTTGGTCTAATAATCCAGTGGGGCAAAGCTAACCAGAAATGGAGTTCAAAAAAATGATCAATGATCAGTTAAAAAGGAATTGGTCGATGAAGATTACATCACCAGTTATTCGCCAATATTTGCTGTTTCTCGGTTGAATTATAGTGACTTTTTTATTATACTTGCTTTACTTTTTTTACTTTTTTTCTATCTCTACCAGCTCCAACTATATAAAAATTTTAAAAAGAATTAGTAATTTATAATTTTGTTTTTAAATAATTTTATTTTTAAAAACGAGCATCTGCTTCTTTAACGGATATTCTTCTTCTAAAAAGGCTCACCATTTCTGGCTAAATTCGCTCCGATGGCTCGCTGAAAAACAACAAAGAGGTCGCCAGCATCATTCGGATTATTTGATCTTTCTAGGAATATGACCCCAGCATGGATGCCCCACTAAGCCTTCAGGATAACAGTTTCAATGACAGTGGATTTGATAGAATTATCCAATAAGATGTGATATATTGGAGAATTATTGAATGCTACCTTACAGAAATAAAAAAAATATCCATTATACAACCATCAAAAAAAAAAAAATATGAAAGTGAAAAACAATCTGATTCAAGAAAATTTTCTAAAAAAAATCACAAATACAGTAACCTCTGACGTGGTGGAATAGAAGAAGAGATACTAGATGGAACATGTCGAGATGTCTGTACTGGATGCGGACGATCATAAACTGAAACATAAGCGACGACAGTTACCACTGATGATTTAAAAATAAAAATTTTCGTTGAATTGATCAAGATTTAGGAAATGTTTACCAGATCGAGACATTCGAGATCCAGGCTGACATGTTACAGAGCAAGTTGAAGGTGTTGCAGTTGTTAATGCTGCTAAACTCTGACGTGGAAAAGTTCTAGCCAAAAAAGACTGAGCAATTGACCCAGGTTCAAGCAGACCTCTAGTTGCAGGCATAAAAGAAGTTCCCTGTTCCATAGAAGCAGGAATGGCAGTGGAAAATGAAGTCAAACTTGATAGAGGCCTAGGCTGAGTTGCTGCTTGGCTGCCAGGAAAATGTGTAAATGTACTGGATGAAGATGCTTGTGTTTGTGAAGACAATGCTGTAGCTGAATGAAGCTGCGACGAGTGACTAATATGCGAAGTTGAAGCCATTCCACTTGCCAATTGCTGTTGTTGCTGAAGCTGAAGAATGTAGCGCTGTAGACTCTGATCGATGGAAAAAGGTAAAATTGGCGATGAAGAAATCCTGGGAACTGAAAAAATTTTAAAGTTCATTGAGGGATTTTTTTTTTTAAGCTCACTTGCCACTTTTGCCACTTTGTCGGACTCGATAAATTTCACCAGGGAGTCACCTAATGGTAGATTATAAGTGAATGAGGCCAGTACCAATCGGACGATTCTTAAGAGAAAAGTTTATTCTCCTACTGGGAGTAAAACTTTATCATTATCTTCTAGGCACTCCATTTTGTTGCTATTTTAAACTTTTTACATTTTTATATATTATATATTTTATAATTTATAATTATGCCACTGTACCTGCCATTTTACCTCATTTTTAATTGTTCGAATTTTGATACTACGGATTTTTTAAATAAATATTGCCAAGACACCTGTCAATATAAGGATTCAATACTGACTGCCTGAATCTATCTTCTCATAGTGAAAAGGCCATATTTAACTTTAATTAGCCTTGAAAGAGATTAATATGAATGATGTTCATGTCAGTCGCTCAGTGTGGTTGCACAGGAAAAGTGGCTTTCATTTACAGATTTAATTCTTGCCATGTAAAGCAAAATGTGGAGATCCACCAATCTATTCCAAAGTGGTTCTTTTACAAAGCTATAGGATTGTAATAGCCTATAGCAGCAATCAGAATTGATGAAAGCTGGTAAAAAGAAACTCAAAGCAAAACTACTGGCTTACAGTGATCAGAAAAAAATCAGACCGTATCGCATGGAAATATCTTACCCTTGTAGCAGTTGGAGCCAGCCTAACCAGTAATGGAGCGTTAGAAAAAGAAGATCAGAAAAAAATGAGTTGATGATTTACAATTTGCGAAAAAATAAGGAGAGTGGTGTGTTCGAAAGCGTTGATCAATTTTGATTAGGATGGAGCTTCTATCAATGACCTGACTGTGCTCTACAAGAAATTTTTGCAGTGTTGAATTAAATGGTTCTTGTCTATGAGCGAATGAGTTTGGGAAAGATAGATTGTGTGCAGAATTTCATTTGCTACCAGCATTTCTAATCTTAAGCT